ATATTCTGGGAAATTTCTCCGGTAATTTATAATTGGCTCACCTCAAGTATCAATGACAAACAAGCAGGGTAGAACGTCATGAAGACGATGTAATTAACGACGACTCCAAGGCAGGCAAAACTGCACAGAACTTCTAGCCTCTTAACCCCCGACAGCGATCCAATTCCAATCAATAGTATCTCTACGAGAGTGTCCAGGGTGATGGATGGACCAAGAAGAGACATACCACGTGCGATATTTGCTCGTACTTCCTCTTGACTTCTAGAACTCAGTGCCAGCTGAGCCAAAACCCCAGCTTTATTGAGGTCGATCAGAAGCAGGAAAAAGAAGAGGGCATTCCTGGAATATTTAAATTACCATTATCATTAAAGGGAAAGATGATAATTGCCAATTATTTCAATTATCAAATTACCAGGAAAAATCACTCAGTTTTTCGAGGAAAAAACAATATCTATTCAACTCACTTGAGATCTGCCATGTCACTGCGACCGAAGTTAACAACACTCGTCGTGAAGACAACACTGGAGAAAACAGTGAATAGCCCAGCAATACCTGATAAATATATTCCATCGATTAATTATCAAAATTATTCATTTGACGTGTAATTGAGTCTGAAAGAATCCCTCGGAATTCAATGAATTTTCGTCAAGACCATTTTTTCATCATTCATTTTCATTTATTTTTCCAAAAAAAATTCTTTTAATTAAATAAAAAAAATTATTATAAAGGATCAAATATGAATCGAAAATTTGATGAGTTGATTTGAACACCAGGCATACGTCTAATCAGTGGTAATTATTTAATTAAAATGTCTGGGCAATTCGGTAATGCACGGGTGAAACAAGTTGTTTCAGTTTGCACACACGAGCTATTGCTTTCCATTGTAACTTTCACTGGACACAAGGTAGGCTTTCACATAATGCCACCATGATCGCGTACAAGATCCGGTTTTAATCACTACTCGTTTTTTCTTACACCATTATTTTTCGAGGAAGAAGAACGTGCCAGGACTGGAAGACAGGTCATTCCTCAGGAAGTCATTCATTTCCTGACCCCCTCCCCCCAAAATTAATCAAAATATTCAAATAAGATGAGCGTTTCAAATATTTTGAACTTTTGAGTAATCTTATACTATCAGAAAATCCCTCTCGAAATTCCGAATTAAACTTTTTAAAAAATTATGAACTACAATTCCCTGCGACGAAGACTCGTGGAAATCGGGATAATTATTCCTGATTTTCCCCATTCTCGGAGTTGTGAAAATACCATCGAATTTTATGTCGCATTTTCATAATGAAATTGAAAATTTATGTGGCAGCAATTTTTTATACTCATTTGAATAATTTTATATTATGTTTCACTTACCCAAAATATATTTAGAACCGAGCTTTTGGAGATTACGGAACTGATGATAACTGAAGAGAACTGCCAGACATCGGATGATGGTCATCACAATAACATCCACAGCATTTTGATCCTGCATAAAATTGCATTCGTAGGTTGAATAAGTCATCATTTCATCGTCTGTTGAATTTATGAACAATTTGCAATCATTGAACATTTCTTGTAGGACATTAGCTGGCATTCCGATTTTTTTCTCGACTCGGATACATTTACAAAATTATCTAGATATTTCGAAAAAATATACGCAGCGTAAACCCATGAAAAGCGTCTTTCATTGAATGTTAACGGAGAAATGCTTCCATACGCGATTAAGAAACTGTCTTGTAGTGAATTTTATCATGTCTGTGGCAGAGGAATAATTACAGAGATTGTGTTTTATTGTAGGACTAAACAAAATGAAAAAATTTATAAATAAGTCGTAAACGGACATCTGGAATCTCTCGATTAATTATTTAATCCCGTAATTCCGTTTCAAATTATCAAAAATCCATAAAAACGGAATAAAAAAATCTACTCACCGGAATTGTAATACCGATAACCAAAATTGATCATCAATTATCTTAAATTTTTGTTGCCCTGATAAAATTCAATTATTATTCATCTGAATCGCGAGATTTGAGTTTTAAGGTCTCCGCTCGTCGTTGCAAAATATTTTGCATTTCCGCCTGAACTTTCAAAATTTTTTAAACAATCCAGACGTGGTCCTCAAATTTTGTACTTCCGCGTTTCAGAAAATTGTTCATAAAAAAAATACGACTGATGCGCAGACATTTATAAAAAATCTGTCAATGATTTTTTTTATTAGGTGTACCAGATATTAAAATAATGATCCATAACTAAATTCTTTTGAATGAATCAATTGCACTCACGTCCCCATTGCATCTCCCATTCCAGCAATGCGATGATGTTCCAGACAATCTTCCCTCTCTTGCCGCATTGTTACCAGTTTCCAAATTCAGCATACAAGCAGTAAGTGTAAATGTCGTTACAATCACCTCCAGAGGATGGCCAGCGCAAAAGCTGCCGTGTATTTCAAACAGTTTTGCCAGCATATTTATTATTTGTAGAGGAGGCACTTTGGTTGAGGGTCACAAATCTGAAACAAAAATCAATACGTAATTTAAACAAATTAAATGATTAATTCAGTTCAATTGAATGACATTTATTCTCCATGAAATGAGATGTCCTTTGAGATTAAATGCATTCCGGAGTCAAAAAATAAAACATCAATTGAAATTAAATCCAATTATAATTAATATAATCTAGATAGTCATTCTGTAATTCAAAAATGATTATTCGACTCCATTAATTGATTTGATTGACTAATTGATGCTACACCGATTTTAATAAAAACGATAAAAAAATATTAATATTACCCCAAGGAATAATAATTGGAAATTGCATGTATGGGTTTTTTAAACCATTACCAAAAAATTGCAGACTTGACTTTGAACGATTTACAAGAGCAATTAGCGCAATCAAATAATTTAGTCGGCAGTTGTGTTTT